CACAAACTGTGAGATCATGATCTTAGCTAAAACCAAAAGTTGGATGCTTAACTGATTGAACCACCCAGCTGCCCCCACTTTTTACTTTTAAACTGAATTGAATTTTTGCATAGATATGTGGCTCAAAAATACAGTACAAAAAGGTAACCAGTGAAGTACCCTTGTTCGTTTTCTGCTCATTTAATACCTTCAATTCCTGTGGCACCTTTTTATGACAAAGGTAGCAGATTATGCACACATAATCTTTTTCATTTAATATATTGTAGAAATCTTTCCATTTATTCATTTTTAAGATCTTATTTTTAAGTAATCTCTATACCCAATATGGGGCTCAGACTTAGAACCTGAAGCTCAAGAGTTGCATGCTCTATCAACTGAGCCAGCCAGGTGCCCTGAAATCTTTCCATTTTATAACATAGTTCTCATTCTTTTTTACATGTGGATTCTTTTCTATTGTATGAATATGGGCATTTTCAATTCATATATTCTTTTGCTAAAAGTGAACAACCATATGCATAATTCATACATACATACATACATACACATATTTCAGTGTATGTAAATACATCTGTAAAATAAATCTCTACTCTCAAGAACTGGGCTTGTGGGTCAAAATTAAATATATATATAATTTCGAAAGATATTACTATGCTTCACCACTTAGAGTAAGTATATATGTTTACAATCCCAACCAGCAGTATATGAATGTGCCTGTTTCAGTGGGAATTCTTTATTTTTTATTATTTATTTATTTACTTATTTATTTACTTATTTATTTACTTATTTATTTTGAGAGAGAGAGAGAGAGAGAGAGAGAGAGAGAGAGAGGGAGGGACAGGGAGGGCCAAAGGGAGAGGGAGAGAGAGAATCTTAAACAGGCTCCATGCCCAGCATGGAGCATGAGGTGGGGCTCAATCTCATGACTGAGATCATGACCTGAGCTGAAATCAAGAGGCAGACACTTAACTGAGAGAGCCACCCAGGCACCTCAAATTTTTATTTTTTAACTTATTTTCATTTTCTTAAATGTTTATTTATTTTGTGAGAGAGAGCACCAGCAGGGGAGGGACAGGGAGAGGGAAAGAGAGAATCCCAAGCAGGCTCCATGCTATAGGCATGGAACCTGACACAGGGCTCCATCTCATGAACATTGAGATCATAACCTGAGTTGAAATCAAGAGTTGGATGCTTAACTGATTGAGCCACCCAGACACCCCTTTTATTTATTTATTCATCCACTTATTTGTTTGTTTATTTATTGTACACTTCACACCCAGCATGGAGTCCAACACAGGGCTTGAACTCATGACCCTGAGATCAAGACCTGAGCTGAGATCAAGAGTCGGACGCTTAACCAGTTGACCACCCAGGTGCCCCTAGTTTTTAATTGTGGTAAAGTACACATAACATGAAATTTTCTACCCTAACCATTTATTTAAAAAGTTTATTTTGGGAGAGAGGGAGGGGAAGAGCGAGTTGGGGAGAGGTAGAGAGAGGGAGAGAGAATCCCAAGCAGGCTCTGCACTGGCAGCATGGAGTTGTACATGGGACTCAAACTCATGAACATTGAGATCATGACCTGAGCCCAAATCAAGAGTCAGATGCTTAACTGATGGAGCCACCCAGGCGCCCCAAAGCACAAGGTTTTTAATTCTGATCAAGTCCAGTTTATTTAATTTTTTTTTCTTTGTGCTTTTGGTGTCATATGTAAGAAAACATTGTCTAATACAAAATCAGGAAGATGGGGCATCTGGTTGGTTTCTGTCAGTAGAACATGCAACTCTTGATCCCGGGGTTGTAAGTTAAAGCCCCACATTGAGTTTAGGGATTACTTAAAAATAAAATCTTAAAAAGATACATACTAAACAAACAAAATAAAATCTTAATCAGGAATATTTACTCCTATGATTTCTTCTAAAATTGTATTTTTGCTCTTAAATTTAGGTCTTTTATCCATTTAGAATGTTTTGTATATGGTGTGAGATAGGAGCCCAACTTCTTTTGCAGGTGGGTATCTAGTTGTCCCAGCACCATTTGTTGAAAAGATTATTCTTTCCTTAGTAAATGATTTTGGCACCCTTGTAAATATGTCAGGATTTATTTAGTGGACTCTGAATTATGTTCTTCTGATGATCTGTATGTCTATCCATAATTATGCCACTGCCACACATTTATGATTGATATAACTTTGTAGTAAGTTTGAAATCAGGAAGTGTATGTCCTCTAATTTTGTTTTTCATTTTCAAGGTGGTTTTGTTTATTCTGTCCCCTTGCATTTTCATATACAGTTTAGGATCAGCTTGTCACTTTCTGCAAAAAAGGGAACTGGAATTTTGATAGAGACGGTGTTGAATTTATAGATTGTTTTGAGGCTTTTCTTCATCTTAGCAATATTATCTCCAATCCCTAAACATGGAATATTGTTTCATTTATTTAGGTCTTTAATATTGTTTGGTGGTGGTTTATGGTTTTCAGCATACAAGTCTTGCACTCCTTTTTTTTTTAAACATTTTATTTTATTCTAATTTCTTAATGTTATTTATTTTTGAGAGAGACAGAGTGTGAGCAGGGGAGGGGCAGAGAGAGAGAGTGACACACAGAATCTGAAGCAGGCTCTAGGCTCTGAGCTGTCATTACAGAGCCCAGTGTGGGACTTGAACTCACAAACCATGAGGTCATGACCTGAGCCAAAGTCGGATGCTTAACCCGCTGAGCCACCCAGGCGCCCCTCGCACTCCATTTAAACATTTAATTCTAAACTTTTTTGATGCTATTTTAAATGGAATTGTTTTGTTTTGTTTGTAAGTAGGCTCCATGCCCCAACACACGGCTTGAACTCAGGACCCTGAGATTGAGAGTCGTGTATTCTACCAACTGAGCTAGCCCCTTAATTTTGTCTTGGGTGATTTGTTGTTAGTCTGTATATCTTCTTTCGGAAAGTGTGTATTCAGGTCCTTTTCTCCTTTTTAATCAGATTATTTTAATCAGACTATTTGTTTTAATCAGATTTTTTGTGTTGTGTAAGTTCTTTGTATATTTTGGACATTAACTTCTTATCAGATACATTATTTGCAAATATCTTCCATTCAGTAGGTTGCCTTTTTGTCATTTCATTGATGGTTTCCTTCACTGTACAGAATCTTTTTATTTTGGTGTAGTTCCATCCCCTCTTCATTTTTAATGTATGTATTATATTGATTTTTTTGTATATTGAACCAGTTTTGCATTCTTGGGATAAATTCCATTTTGTGTAGAGTTGTGTATTTTTTGTAGGTTGCTGTATTTGGGTTGCTGGTATTTTCTTGAAGATTTTTACATTTTCAGGCATTAGGGATACTAGCGTATAGGTGTATAGTTCTCTTGGAATGTCCCTGTCTGGTTTTGATATTAGGGTAATAATTGTCCTGACAGAATGAATTTCACTTAATTTTTTATGTGGTTATTTTTATAGTAGGAGTTACTTTCTAAGGTTTTTTTTTTTTTTTTTTTAGAGATGGGGAGGGGCATTGAGAGGGAGAGGGGAATCAAGGATCCAAAGCAGGTTCCATCCCGGCATCAGCAAGTCTGAAATGGGGCTGGAACCCATAAGCCGTGAGATATGACCCAAGCTGAAGTCGGACACTTAACCGACTGAGCCACCCAGGCACCCCAAAGTCACTTTTAAAACTTAGAAGTTAGGAGCACCTGGGTGGCTCAGTCAGTTGCGTGTGCGACTTCCACTGGGGTTGTGATCTCATGGTTTGTGGGTTCAAGCCCTGCATCTGGCTCTCTGCTGTCCGCAGGAGGCTTGCTTTGGATCCTTGGTTCCTTTCTTTTTGCACTGCATGCTTTCTTTCTCTCAAAAATAAATAAACATTTAAAAAAAATAAAAAAATAAAAGTGACACTAGGAAGTATATTTTATTGTACTATTGCATTCTGATAATTACTAACAATAACTGAGACAGTGCATTCATTTGCCAGTTATTTATTTTTTTTATGTGCAAGCCATTTGTAAGATGGGAATATGGTAGAAGTTGGGGCAGGGGAATGTGTGCTAGGCTGAGAAGAATATGATTTAGGATTCCAAAGATTGAAATAGTTGCTGCTTTAGGAGAATAAAGAGTTGAATATGTTGTGATTAGTTAGGGAGGGTGGGGCAGGAAAGGATGTTGTTCAAGGTGGGTGGTCAAGGTCTAGGCCTTTACCTGAGTTCTCCCTTTTTTTGTTTAAATGATTGGATTATATTCCTCCCCTTGTATTTATTTATTTATTTATTTATTTATTTATTTATTTTTTCAACGTTTGTTTATTTTTGGGACAGAGAGAGACAGAGCATGAACGGGGGAGGGGCAGAGAGAGAGGGAGACACAGAATCGGAAACAGGCTCCAGGCTCTGAGCCATCAGCCCAGAGCCTGACGCGGGGCTTGAACTCACGGACCGCGAGATTGTGACCTGGCTGAAGTCGGACGCTTAACCGACTGCGCCACCCAGGCGCCCCCCTCCCCTTGTATTTAGTTGTATTTAGTTGTTTCTTATTTTTGGTTGCTACTCTTTAGGAAAAAAACATAGATTAAATCCCATTTAAAAAAATCGTAAGAGTTTTTCTATGCTGTTAAGGATTTTTTAAAATTGACCAAACTGGAAATCATTATAGCATGTATGTATGTATTTATTTTTCAATGTAGTTTTTAACTTTTTAAGTAAGCTCTGCACCCAGCATGAAGCTCAAACTTACAACCCTAAGATCAAGAGTCACATGCTCTACTGACTGAGTCAGCTAGGCTCCCCTCTAGTTTTTCTTTTTTTTTTAAGTATTTATAAACATTGTATTTAATTAGCCTTATTATGTTTTTACTTTTCTATATGAAATGTGAAGTAATTTAATTAACTTCTTCCTTAGTTGATAAATAATGACAAAGTTATAAAGATGAATATGTTGTATAGAAAGGCAATTTGGCATTGTAGAAAGAACATGGGCTTTGGAATTGGACAGATCTCCATTTGAGACCACACTTGACTCCTATGTTTAGTATCTTAATGCATAAAATATTTGGAAAATTAAGTCTTAGCACAGTGCATGGCATATGGTGGATATTGGCTCCTATTGTTAATTATAATATTTAACATATATTGAATTCCATATGCTAGGCAGCCAGGCTCTCTACTAAGCACTTAAGTATTATCTCATTTTATAATCCTCAGAGCAACCCCATGAGTTGCTAGGCACAGTCATTATTTCAGGTTTACACATTAGGAAATACAAGGTTAGACAGATTGAGAGGTTTCCCAAGTGATGGTGCTAGTATTCTAGTCAGGGCCATCTGGTTTCAGAGCATTTTTCTCTCTGCTATGCTGCCTCTTCTGGTTACAAAGGACTAAGGGCACTGTTCATTACTAATGTATTTTTAGTGGACTCTTGTCTTATAAATGGAAGATTAAATTGGAGGTAGACATTTGATTATTAGTTTCTTTCATGTCTGCATGTCAAGTTGGCTTAAAAACATTGGAGAGACAAATGTTACCTGCAAATCTGTACTGTATTTTAAAGCTACATGTTAACGTCTACCTAGTATGAGAATTTGTTTGATTTGAGTTATATCTATTTACTAATAAATAACCACAATGTCAGTGTAACTATGAAGTATGAAATGTTCTTTAAGTTTATCATACCATATACAAAATGTTCCATTTAAAAAATAGTTACCTTAGGAAACTAGACACTTAGTTTTTTTGTTTTGTTTTATTTTTTTAAATGAAAAGACCTTTTTTAAGTTTATTTATTTTGATACAGAAAGGGACAGTGTGAGTGGGGGAGGGGCAAAAGAGAGAGGGAGAGAATCCCAAGCAGGCTTTACACTGTCAGTGTGGACCCTGACCTGGGGCTCGAACTCAGGAAACCGTGAGATCATAACCTCAGCCAAAACCAAGAGATGGATGCTTACCTAACTAAGCAACCCAAGTGCCCCTAAATACTTAGTTTTTAAGAAAATGAGATCAGGCACACCTGGGTAGTTCAGTTAAGCATCCAACTCTTGATCTCAGCTCAGGTCTTGATCTCAGGGTTGTGAGTTCAAGCCACACCTTGGGCTCAATGCTGGGCCTGAAGCCTACTTAAAAAAAAATGAGGTGCAATTTAAATTTTTTTTTTTTCAACGTTTATTTATTTTTGGGACAGAGAGAGAGCATGAACGGGGGAGGGGCAGAGAGAGAGGGAGACACAGAATCAGAAACAGGCTCTAGGCTCTGAGCCATCAGCCCAGAGCCCGACGCGGGGCTCGAACCCACAGACCGCGAGATCGTGACCTGGCTGAAGTCGGACGCTCAACCGACTGCGCCACCCAGGCGCCCCAAGGTGCAATTTAAATAGCTTATAAAATTTACCATTTTAGCGATTTAATTTATGTATTTATTTATTTATGAGAGAGAGAGAGGGCGTGCTTGTGCAGGAGCAGGATAGGGAGAGGGGCAGAGAGAGAGGGAGACATAGGATCCAAAGTGGGCTCTCTGCTGACCGCAAAGAGCCTGACACAGGCCTCACAAACCGCAAGATCATGACCTAAGCTGAAGTTAGATGCTTAACCGACTGAGCCACTCAGGTGCCCCACCATTTTAATGATTTTAAAGTATACAGTTCATTGGCATTTCTTTTATTTACAGTGTTGTGCAACCACTACCAGTATTTAATTGCAGAACATTTTTATCACCCAAAAAGAAACTCCTGATTCTTTAACCAGTTGCTCCCCATTTTCCCTTTTTCCTTTTTTTTTTTTAAGATTTTGTTTTTTAAATTTTTTATTCTTTAAGTTAAAAAAATTTTTTTTTTTGGAAAGAGAGAGAGAGCCAGCAGGCCAGCAGGGGAGATGCAGAGGGAGGGAGGGAGGAAGAAAATCTGAAGCAGACTCCATGCATCACCACAGAGCCCGACTTGGGGCTCAAACTCAAAAATTGTGAGATCATGACCTGAGCTGAAAGCAGGAGTTTGATATTTAATAAACTGAGCCACCCACCTGTCTATATTTTATTTTTAAGTTATCTCTACACCTAACGTGGGTCTTGAACTCAGAACCCTGATATTTAAGAGGCACATGCTCCACGAGGTGCCCCTTCCTTTTCCCTAACCCATGGAAACCACTGTTCTTCTTTTGTCTTAATGGGTATGCCAACACTAGACATTTCATAAAAATGGAATTAAAGTATGTGGCTTTCTGTGTTTGACTTCTTTTATGTAGTATCGTGTTTTCAAGTTTCATTCACATTATAGTGGGTATCAGTACTTTTATTTCTCTTTGTGGCCGAATGATATTTCATGATGTGGATTTACCACATTTTTTTAGTCATCAATTCATCGATATTGGTTTGTTCCCATTTTTTTTTTTAATTTTTTTTTTCAACGTTTATTTATTTTTGGGACAGAGAGAGAGCATGAACGGGGGAGGGGCAGAGAGAGAGGGAGACACAGAATCGGAAACAGGCTCCAGGCTCTGAGCCATCAGCCCAGAGCCCGACGCGGGGCTCGAACTCACTGACCGCGAGATCGTGACCTGGCTGAAGTCAGACGCTTAACCGACTGCGCCACCCAGGCGCCCCTGTTCCCATTTTTTGTATTTTACTTATCTATTTTGTTGGTCACATATCTTTTTTAAAAATTTTAATTCCAGTGTAGTTAACATAACAATGTTATGTTAGTTTCAGGTGTACAATACAGTTCAGCAATTTCATTCCTCACCCAGTGTGTATCACAAGTGCACTCCTTAATCTCCATAACTTGTTTTACCTCTCCTCCCACTGACCTCCCTTCTGGTGACTATTAGTTCTCTATCTTAAGATAGAGTCGATTTCTTGGTTGTCTCTTTTCTCTCTTCCTTTGCTTATTTGTTTAGTTTCTTAAATTCCACATATGAGTGAAATCATATGAAATTTGTCTTTTTCTGACTGACTTATTTCTCTTAGCATTATACTCTCGAGCTCCATCCATGGCATTACAGATGGCAAGATTTCTTTCTTTTTTATGGATGAATAATACTCCATTGTATACATATATCACATCTTTATCCATTCATGTATCAGTGGGCACTTGGGTTGCTTCCATTTTTTGGCTATTGTAAATAGTGGTGTTATAAACATCAGGGTGCAGATATCCCTTTAAATTAGTGTTTTTGTATTTTTTTGGTAGACACCCAATAGTGTGGTTGCTTGATTGTAGGGTGGTTCTACTTACAACTTTTTGAGGAACCTCCATACTGTTTTCCATAATTCCTGTACCAGTTTGCATTGCTACTACCAGTGCAAAAGTGTTCCTTTTTCTCCATATCCTCGCCAACACTTGTTGTTCCTTTTGTTTCTATTTTTTGGCTATGATGAATGATGTTGCTGTGAATAGTGGTATACAAGTTTTATTTGAATACCTATTTTTGAATCTCTTGTGTAAATACCCCAGGGTGGAATTGCTGTGCCATATGGTAATTTTAACTTTTTTCCCCTTTAATTTTTTTTTTTTGTTACACAAAAGTGTACATATTTAATCTATACTTCTTGATAAACTTAAAGATCAGTATACATCTGTAGAATTAGCACCATAGATAATGTCATACATTGAACCATGGGCTTAAAAGTTTCTTCCCTCTTTTTTTTTAAGCACCTAGGCGGTTAGTTTGTGGATGTGCCCTAAATGTTTATTTCTTGTTTTTTATTTTTTAAAATTTTATTTTAGAGAGCTAGAGCGTGAGCTGGGGAGAGGGGCAGAGGGAGATAGATAGAGAATCTTAAGGAGGCTCCACTCTCAGCTCAGGGCCTGATGCAGGCCTCCATCTCATGACTGTGAGATCATGATCTGAGCCAAAATCAAAAGTTGGTTGCTTAACCAACTAAGCCACCCAGGCACCTCCCCTTTTTCTTCTTTTGCTAACATTAAACATAAGACCTATCCCCTTAACATATTTTTCAAGTATATAATATGGTATTGTTAACTGTATGCACTATGCTGTGCAGTAGATCTCTAGAATTGATCTTGTATGTGTGAAACTATGTACGCTTTAACACCTCCCTGATATCCTCTTCCCCCCTCAACTACCATTCTACTTCTGTGAATTTGACTAGTTATGTTTGTGATAATAAGTGGGATCGTGTAGAATTTGTTTTTCTGTGTCTGACTTATTTCCTTTAGCATAATGTCTTCTGTGTTGATTTATGTTGTAGTAAGTGGCTGGATTTGTTCCATGAGTTGTTGCCCCATGTTGGGTGTAGAGCTTGCTTTAAAAAAAAAAAAAAAAGTTGGGGTGCCTGGGTGGCTCAGATGGTTAAGTGTCCGACTTTGGCTCAGGTAATGATCTCATGGCTTGTGAGTTCAAGCCCCGCATTGGGCTCTGTGCTAACAACTTGGAGCCTGGAGTCGGCTTTGGATTCTGTCTCCGTTTTTCTGCTCCTTTCCTGCTTGCTTTCTCTCTCAAATATAAAATAAAACATAAAAAAAAAATTTTTTTTAAAGGCTGAATAACTCTCCATTGTATGCATATATACCACATTTTCTTTAACTATTCATGTATTGATGGATATTTAGGTTGTTTCCAGGTCTTTGCTATTGTAAATAATGCTGTGGTGAACATGGGAATGTATATATCTCTTTGAGATACTGATTTCAATTTTTTTTTTTTTGGTGGTTATTTATTTTTGAGAAACAGTGTGCTTGCGTGAGTAGGGGATGTGTAGAGAGAGAGGGAGACAGGATCTGAAGCAGGCTCTGTGCTGACAGCATACAGCCCAATGTGGGGCTCCAACCCACAAACCGGGAGATCATGATCTGAGCCAAAGTCGGGTGACTTAACCCACTGAGCCACCCAGGTGCCCTGGTAGTTCTAGTTTTATTTTATTTTTTTGTAGTTTTAATTTTTTGAGAGACCTCCATACTGATTTTCATAGTACCAATTTCCATTCCCACCAACAGTGTACAAGTGTTCCCTTTTCCTCCACATTCTCAACAACAGTTACCTGTTTTTTTTGTTTTTTGTTTTTTTTTTTTTGAGAATAGCCATCTTAATAGGTGTAAGGTGACACTACATTGTGGTTTTGATTTGCATTTCCCTGATAATTACTTATATTGAGCGGCTTTTCTATGCCTGTTAAACCATTGTATTTTATGTCTTCTTTGAGAAACGTCTATTCAGATCTTTTGACCATTTTTACTTATTTATTGTTTATTTATTGTTTTTTAAGCAAGCTCTATGCCCAATGTTAGGCTTGAACTCAGGACCCCAAAATCAAGAGTCACATGCTCTACTGACTGAGCCAGCCAGGTGCCCCTTTTTTGCCCGTTTTTAAATTGGATAGTTTTGCTGTTGGGTTATAAGAGTTCCTTCTACAAATTGGATATTTCCTTTTTACCAGATATATGATTTGCAGATATTTTCTCTCATTCTGTATGTTGTCTTTTCACCTTGCTGATCATTTCCCTTGGTGTGCAGAAGCCTGCATATCTATCGTTTTGTTTCCCATGCTTTTGGTGTCATCCAGGAAAATCATTGCCAAGGCCAGTGTCAATAAACTTTTCCTCTATATTTTCTTTTAGAACTTTAAGGTCTTAAGTTTAAGGCTTACTTAATTTAGAGTAGATTTTTGTATATGGTATAAGTTAAAGGTTCTATTTCATTCTTTTGTAAGTGGATATTCACTTCCCATACATTTGTTGAAGAGCCTGTCCTTTCCCCATTGTATATTCTTGCCCTTGTTGTTGAAGATAGTTTACTATAAATGTGTGGGTTTATTTTTGGCCTCTCTTTTCTGTTCTTTTGGTCACTATGTCTGTTTTTATGTTTGTTTTGTTTACTGTAGCTTTGTAATGTATTTTGAAATCAGAAAGTGTGAGACTTCTTGCTTTGTTCTTCTTGCTCCTCATTATTGCTTTGAGTATTCAGGAGTCTCTTATGGTTCCATATAAACTTTAGGGCTTTTTTTTCTATTTCAGTAAAAAATGCCTTTGTAATTTTGATAAGGATCGAGTTGAATCTATAGATGGCTTTCAGTAGTATGTACTTTTTTGGGTAAGATTTTATTTTTAAGTAATCTCTATGCCCGGTGTGTGGCTAAAACCCACAACCCTGAGATCAAGAGTTCCATGCTCTACTGGCTGAGCCAGCCAGGTGCCCCTCAGTAGTATATACATTTTGACAATATTAAATCTTCCAGTTCATGAACACAAAGGTCCTTTTTTTCCCCCATCTTTCTTTATTTTGAGAGACAGAGAGCATGTGTGCACACAAACGAGGTTGGGACAGAGAGAGAGGGAGAGAGAATCCCAAGCAGGCCCCATTCTGTCAGTGCAGAGCCCGACTCAGGGCTCCATCTCAGTAACCGTGAGATCATGACCTGAGCTGAAATCCAGAGTGAGACGCTTAACCGAATGAGCTACCCAGGCTACCCCACTGCACTATTTTACATTCCTACCATCAGCGTATGAAGATTCTAATTTCTCTACGTCCTGGCCAATACTTACTAGTTTTTTGTTTTTTGTTTTTTAATTATATCCATCTTAATGAATGTGAAGTGGTATCTCATCATTTTATTTGCGTTGCCTTAATGACTAATGAGCATCTTTTCCTGTGCTAATTGGCTATTCATCTTTTTTGGAGAAATGTCTATTTGAGTCCTTCACTTATTTATAAAAAAAAGAGTGTAAAATATACACACATAAAATTTATATTTTAAAGATTTTTAGGTGTGTATTTCAGTGGCATTAAGTACATTTACATTGTTGTGTAGCCATCATCACCGTACATTTTCAGACTTTTTCCTATATCGTTTCCTTTATCTTTTTCTCTTGTTG